TCACTTTGTCAAGATGAACTTTGACGTTGGAAAAATAAACTTTGGTGTTGTAAAATTGTACTTTGATGCGAAAATCATGTTTTTCAAATCATGTGGCTTTCCAATGTAGAATAATTAATAAAATAAATTAATGAATAATAAAATAAAAATTTCTGTTTTTTTTCTAATTTTTTTATCTGGTTAGATTTGTTTTAAAGTGTATCCACTCATCAACGATTAAAAGATTTTTTTTCAAAATTTAAAAAAATCTCATTCCAATTTATTTTATTAACTCAAATCGAAGATACACATGTACGGTGATAAACAGAAGCGGATTTATTGTGCTGAGAATCAATGCAAACCACAGTCTTACGGCCTGCCTCGTCAACCAAATCAACCAAACTAATGATAACAACATGCACATCAATTGTGAGGAACCTGGCTTGGCCAACACTCTTATTGAGAAAAATATTTTAAATGCACAGTTTTGTGTCAACTACGATGACCAAAATCATAACATCACCAAATTTTGGAATGTAAGCAGTAACATCATGTTATATTTTATTAAAATTATGTAACCTCTTCTCAATGTTCCATGTTTAATAGTTCATATTTTGAATGCACTTGGCTTGTGTAAGTTCACGCCATTTATGTACCTATACGTTTAATGCGTACAATACTTGAAATTATTTGCAATTGAACCTGGTTACGTTCAACATTTCCTCTGGCAATTTCTGGCAATCTAGCAATTTCTCCGTCATTTATCGTCTGGGCCTCGTTGCAATCTACTCAGCCTAACAACCTTATAAGTTTTAAAACCTTTAAAAAACTTTAACATATTTACGAATAAAAAATTATGTTTATTAAATTCTTTGAAATTTTTTTTTTGCAGCACGATGCGGCTATTTTAACACCATTGGATCATTAGAAACTGATTATTTTGTTGTGACATCTAGAAAATTTCAAATTCTGTTGATCAAATCTATCTCCTCCACAAATGAAATCAAGACTTCCTGACTTCTATTCTGGAAGAGCAACTCTACATTTGATGAATTGCCCTTTTTGATCCATCCGTATATATTTGAATAAAGTTTAAATTGTTATTAATTTTTTCTTTAACTAAGGTTTTTGCTAGTTATACATTTTGGCCCATTCCTGTTATGGACGTGTCAATTTCTGGGTGCTTTAGTGACCAAGGAGGAAATTTAAACTTTATTTATTCCATGGTCTTTATATCTTCATATTTTTAATGTCTTTGATGAATTCATTTAGTCTTATTGGAAGTGTTGGAATTGATTTTGATTTTGATGCCTTTGTTTTTGCTGTTATATATTTATATGCCGAGGTTTTCATCTGAGATTTAATTTTTAGAAAGTAATTCAAGGCAAATTTTTGATGTCTTCAATTTAATGGCATTTCTCCTGCCAAAACATAGAGACTTATGGATGGTGATGTTCTGTATGCTTCTAGACACCTTCTTGACGATTCGTTGACTATTGGGTGTAGAATCTTCATGTAGGATTTTTGTGTAGAACCATAATCCAAACCCTGCTCGTATAGTTGCTTAGAAAATTGTTATCAGATGCTTTTGGTCTGCTTCACATTTATTTTGGGATAACATTTTGATTAAATTGAGTGCTTTTAGGCAATTTCTTTTTGTTTCCAAAATATGAGCTATGAAATTTATTTTTGAGTTAAATATTAAAATTGTTGTTAGTTAATATTTTTTAATATTTTTTTATAAGTAGCCATTTTTACATTTGTTAGTGTTTTTTGGGGTTTGTTAATTTTATATTATTGAAAATTATTTCATCTTCATTTTGGCATGGTAACTCCCAAGTATGCCTGTGTCCTGCTTGTCCACATTTTGCACATATCATCTCTTTGCTTGAACAGATTTTATGATGGTGTCCATATCTTTGATATCGCGTGCACCTCAACAGAGGAGGGATAAATTTTTCAACCCTCAGTAATTGAAAACACACCTTTAACTCCTTCGGAATTTAAAAACTCTGGAATGTAACTATAAGCGTGTTGGTGGTGCTTTTCTGGTTATTTTTTGTTATTTTTATATTTTGAATATCTATGACACCTTGGTCAAATAATTCATTCTTAATTTCTTGTTTAGAACAGTATCTAAATATTGTTGTTTTAATGACACCTTTACTGGTATTAAGTGTCTTATGAAGAGAAGATTTAACTTTTTCCATTTAACAAGTTATCTCTTTTTAAAACTTTTTTTCTGCTCTTCTTGTTTTATTTTAATTAGAAATCTGTTTGACAGAATGTTGATGGATTCTAATTCTCCAACTTAATTTTGAAACATTTTTTGAATTTTAAATATGGATAATCTTCTGAAGTCGTGGTCGGGAACCTGAGTTGCCGGTTCAATAACGAAAAACATTAGACCTTTAGGTTGATGATGCGACGAGTCTGAGGATAAGTCCTCTCTGGTCCTTTTCTATCGTGGCGCCAATTTGGCTGGCCCACCGGAGCTCTTCTCGTTGTCTTCCAACAATTTGAATCAGCTTTTAACTATTAACTGATTTATCAATCAATTAACAAAAGATTTTAACAAAATTATTAAAGCCAATTATCGAAAAATTGATTTTAATTAAGTTTTTGCAATATCAACATTAACCATTTATCGCTCAACGAAAGAATTTCTTAAATTCAAAATCTTTGAATCTTTGAAAATTCAATGAAATTAATTAAATTTCATGACAGGTTTCAATGGATAGGGAGAATCGATCTTTTGAAAATTTCCAAATTCATCAAATCCCTAACATGAATATTTTCGTAATAGTCAAAAATGGGTCATTCAGTGCAGAAGCAAGATGTAACTGCGGGGAAAAAAACTTTGTAAGAATTTAAATTTTTTGATCGAATCACCGCATTTCTAACTCGCATATATACTTTTGCATACTCAAAGCATTCCTATTTGAAAATTCTTTTTATTACTTTTATTTTATTACATGATATGATTGGACTATCTGTTGCTGGTAAATATTATAAATGAGTCTAAATGGTTGGATGGTGATTGGTATTCAAACCGTATTTAATTGACAGGGACAAATTAACATAAAGTTGACGAGGGGCAAAATTTTGAAATTTAACGTGAGGGCCAAAAACTTCCAAAGTTTTGCTGGTGTAGCCAAAACTGTGCTGGTGACATTTTTCTTTACTGCGCAAATTTTTGATCGATTTTCTAGTTAAAACGGTGATTTCGTGTGTAAAAACTCCGTTTTAGTAAATTTTAATAAAAATACTGTTCACAATAAGGGACACGAGTTAGTTAGTGTTAATTGATGTCGGTTAAATGTTGAATTTTTAGGGTTGGTTGGTCGTACGGTCTTAAATTAATTAGCAGCTGAATTTAATACTGAATCTGATTTGTACTGATAAAAAGTGATCAAAAATTATTTAACAATTATGTTCAGCTTAAATTTACTACGAAGAAATGAATTTTGATCGTACAATTGGTGGATCCCTTTTTATGAATCAGATATGGTAGCCTAAATCTTTACGTAGTTAATTATCTTGCTTTAAAAACCAAAGCAATATATGTCACCATCTTTCAAGTGGTTGAACGTATACTAATGGCCGCATAAAATTGAAAGTAAATGTCTTGCCATAATTTAAAAGGGGTCAAAAAATAAACCTCATCTTTATGAATTTGGTCATTTATTAACATTATTCAAGGTTTTGAATACACTGTTCCGCTATAGGCAGTCTTAGTCTTGCTTGCTCTTTCTCTCCCTCTCTCTCTTTCTCTCTCTCTATATATATATAGAAAGAAAGAGAGAAAGCGAGAGAGAGCTAGCAAGAATAAGACTGGTCAAAAATTAAACCTAGTCTTTATGAATTTGGTCATTTATTAACATTATTCAAGGTTTTAACTACACTGTTTCGCTTTAAAAAGTTCTAGTCTTGCTTGCCCTCACTTTTTTTTTCTCTCTCTCTTTTTATATATATATATATATATATATATATATATATATACATATATTTTATAAATTCTACCGAAAATTTGGTGTTAATATGTTTGTAGTTCGTTTTATCGATTTTTCTCACTAAAGTTTTTTGGAGAACGTTTAGTTTATTAAAATTCAAAATAAACTTATTTTCGAATTCATGCTGCATATATGCATTTATAAATTCTTGCTGGCATAGGCTTAGTTAGTTCATTCTTGACATTGCAATCAACATCACAGTGATCCCATTGATTAAACAAATTAGAAGTTAGTAGTTCAAGACTTGTCGAATCAACTAACTGGTTTGTTGAATCAATCGGATCTATTAATATATATATATTAATTTTTACCTGTTGGTACATGGTAACAGCTTTCTAAAATTATTATTAATTCAGTCAAAATTGATTATAATGAAACACAATTCTGTGAAAATGCAACAAACCTCGGGTGTATTTTTGACTCGAGATTATCTTTCAAATATCATATAAAAACCATATCTAAATCATGTTCTTATCAGCTTTGCCAGTTATACCGCGTCCGAAAATATTTACATCAAACAACCATGCTAACACTAATTCATGCGTTTGTTCATTCACGGTTAGACTACTGTAATAGCTTGTTCAATGGATTACCAGAGAGATCTATTGCTTTTCTTCAATCGATACAGAATAGAGCTGCAAAAATAACTGTTGGACGTAGAAAGTATGACCATGTGACATCCATTTTAAGAGACCTACATTGGCTTACAGTGAAAAAAAGAATCAACTATAAGATTTCTGTGACTATGTATAAGGCTATGAACGGGTTGTTACCATTATATCTATATATATATATATATATATATGTATATATATGTATATATATATATATATATATTAATATATTAGGTATATATATATATTAATATATATATATATATATATATATATATATATATATATATATATATATATATATATATATATATATATATATATATACCTAGTGCTCTCTCATAACAACATAACAGAAATTTCCTGTATGTGGAAAAGTACTTGATCGTTTGTGTCAGTATCCATGCTTCTTCACGAAGGAAGTGTGCGCAAACGACTCAATGTGAATATTTTTTTATTCTACCTCCCATTAATTCAGAATTTAGTTGAATATAACTACTTAAATGGAATTTCAGCGCATATCCACCATGCGTATATACGGACGTCTTGAACACTCCTTACAAGACACCCAGCACCTCATTTGATAACGAAAAACCTCTTTGTAGCAAAGTTTGTCCTTGCTCCAATCTCCAGTGCTCACGTATTTATTACATTCAAATTATTTTTTTAATTTTTCTAATTATTTTAAAAATTTTATACAATAATTTTTATTTTTAAGTTTTTGCACGAACTTGTTAAACATTCATAACTAAACTTTAAAATTGTGAATTGGACCGCAGAAACTACGTTGCCAACATTATTACAACCATTGACCATAGCAACAACATCAACTATAACAATTACAACATTAACCATACCAACAACTCCTTCAAAACCAACAACGACATCAACTGAACCACCACCAACATCATCAACAAAATTATCAACAACATTATCAACAACATCAACAACATTATCATCAACAACGACATTATCATCAGCATCAACAGCAGCAACTCCAACATTTCCTACTAGTACTTCTTCTAATAAACATGATTCCCTTCCAAGTTTGAACGTTGTGAGCAGCTCAGCGCCAAGTAGTGATGTGAGCCAAACACAAACACTTGTTCCTCCATCATCTCCTTCTTCCTCTAGAGAACTTGGTGTGGGACTTGGCGTTGGTCTGAGTCTTCTCGTCATTGTTCTTGTAGCAGTTGCTCTTTTGTTCTACTTCAAGCGCAACAGGCCTTTGAAAAAGAGCGAAGAAAATCACATTTCGTTTATTACGCTCGGTAACACTGAGTCTAACGCCGGATTGTCATGTTCGTTAACATAATTTACTTCAGTTTCTAATCGTGTAATCGTAATCTTTCTGATCTGTAATTTCAATTAAATTATTCAATAATTTTTTCATTAGAATAGATAGTTTTAAAGTGTTCAGATATACATTAACGACACAGATTACGCGTATAACATTGAATAAAAACATGCTTGATTGCAACACATTGATTCTTTTTTTTTATTTTATTATATTTTATTTCAATCAACGTTAGCTAAAACCGGTCGTTCAACAAACATCAAGGAGCATTTAAGAAGTTAATTGTATGTTAATAAATATTTCATGTGAGATGGACATGGTTGTTAATAATACTCAAAAATAGTATCTAGAAAACCAATACAGGTTTTAAAATGTATTGACGGTACTCATTTTTGAAAGTGTACGAAACTTGAATTTTTTAAACGGTGCTACATGAAAATGCAATTAAGATTTTTTCTGAAACAGCACTCTGTTGTTAATATATTACAAGAAAATTACTGTGCAACAATAAATTGTTTGAACATTCAAATTTGAAAAAAGAATATTCATGTTCAGGGTCGAATATTGAGGTCTGAAAACCCCGGAGCCACAAGCAAGCAAAGGCCCAAATTTTTTCAAATTAAAAACGGCAAACTTTTTCAAGTCTTGAACAAATTCATTGCCAAAACAAATTAATTCAGCAAAAATTTTAGTAAGTTTTTAAAATCATATTAACATTATTGAAAACTAAAGTACCGTTTTAATAAATTTTTCAGTAAAATTGAAAAAAACATTTATGAAAAACATGTCTGTTGCCAACTCGTATCACTTTGTATCTCTATTTCTATGGGGGCCTTAAATGTGGAGGTCCCATGGCAGCAACTTACTCTTCCTTGAATCAAACCTTGTTTATGTCAAATGAATTTTTATTTCTTTTCTATTCAGACAAAAATTATTTAATATTCAATGATTTATTTACAAAAAAACCAACTATCCTATTTAAAAGCATTGCAATTTTGTTAAATTTGTTAAATATTTAACATATTTTTAAGTATTAAAATAATTTCTTGTTAATTGAAAGATTAAACAGTTTTTTGAGGTTTTTTTTAAACAAACCAGGTTATAAAACTCTGCACGGTAGCAGATCTTGAAAATTTTGGCGCGGCCTGAATTTTGATGGGAAAATTTTCTAAGTTGACAGAGGGAGATTTTTGAAAAACGTTGACCATTATGGTAATGCGATCGTCGAAAATTACGATGAGGAGTTTTTTTAAAACCAATTAGGTACTGACTTGATATAAATACTCCTCACAAAGGGGGGACACTGGCCCACCCCGGCCCCTCCCTATATTCCCCACAGAAACAAAACAAGTTTTCAAAACAAGCAAAAGACGGCGAAAGATAAATTTAATTAAATTGATACTTAAATACCATATCGGCGATTGCGAAACTTTAATATTAAGAACCCTAGAAATGGAGCTTCAGTGGCCTTGAAAAAATTTAACGACATTCTTTAATCCATTCTGCAGGTCCACTTAAATTTGATGTTAAACGAATAATTGACGTGCTTTGTGAGAAGATATTATAAAAAAAAGTGAAATTTGAAAATGCGGTAAATGCGTGCAATAAATTTGACGAGTAATATTTTTCCATGCCAGAATTAATCAGTCAACTTAATTAAACTCATTTAATTTAATAAAAAATATAAAAAACAAATGTAAACAATAAATTTTAACGACAAATAAAAATAAATTTCAACAAAAAAGGGTTTTTTAAAGTTTTTTTTAATTAAACATGATAATCATGCATATGTACATGCTACTACTATCAATTATAACTGCTGGTTCTGCCTGCTTATCTCATATTTTTGTTTAATTGACACCCAAAGACGTATATCAGTATAGTTGATTTATCTTTTTATTTAGTTTCAATGTCTTTGAAATTTTTTCAAAAGCAGTAATAAGCGAAACAAACCATCGAAAATATTATGAAATAAATAATTCTGATTAATCTCACGTGGTTTTAAAACACTAGAAAATTTCTTATGAATTAATATTACGAAATTTTTCTGAATAAAACATTATAAGACATTTTGCACAGTCAAATTTGGTTAATATGGAAAAATTTGATCACAATTTGACTTCAGAAACTTTTTCGACTGTAAAACTTAAAAGGGACTAAATAAACCCAGTCCAAAGATTTGAAACGAAACTTCTATTTTTAATTAGAAAACAACTGATAGATACAGTAAGAAATGTGGTGCTCTGCCATATTATTATTATTATGCTTTACAGTAATTAATATATGAGATGT